GTCCCCAGATTTGTGTAAATTGAGTGTAATTTTTGGAGACGGCATAAGTGATTTCCTCCATTTGTTTTATTCCTTCCACTTTTTGAATCCATTCTCTAATGGATAGAGGATGTACCTGTTTCCACTTGATTGGTATTAGATGGTTGGCCGCTATGAGGAGATGGGGCGGTGGTAGGAGAAACACCAAATACTCTGGTGCAAATGGAATCTGTGTTTTTTATGATGATCTGTATGAGCGTATGCACACGTTTCCAAAATTTTGATATTATCGGGCATTGCCACCAGATGTGAGGGGTATGCATTTGTCGTTTTATATCTACAACAGGTGTCTTGCGCTGTAATGTGTATTTTGTGAATTTTAGCTGGGGTATAGTGCCACCTTGCGAGACGCTTGTAGTTGCTCTCTTGCGCTAAAGTTGAGGTGGAGGTTGTATGTGTCCTAAGAAAAATACTTCTCCATTGTGCGTGAGAAATATCGATTTGTAGTTCAGCTACCCATTTTATCGCATATGTGGGGAGTTTGTATGTTCGTGTTGTTAATACCAGTCTGTACATATTGGAAAGAAGCTTTTTGTTTTATTGAGTGAGGAAGCAGAGCTGTTCAAAGTGTGAGAGTTCTTGCACACCTTTTGTCAAAAGTTTCATGCTTCTTATAAAATGAGTGAGTTGTGCGTATTGAAACTGTTGCAACCCCGTAGGAGTTTGGGAGGAATTGAGGATGTGCAATAGAATAATGTTACCATTTTGAACCACATCTTGAAGTTTAACATATGAATCCCTGTGGTAGTGTCTATATGCCGTACCAGATATTCCCATGTGGAAAAGAGGATTGTGTGTGAGTGGATAAAGTGGAGACGGATAAGGGAACACTGTCTCATTGTGGTCAGTGTTTGTCCATATTCTAAGTGTGGCATTTTTTATCGGGTGATGCTTGGTTTTGAGAAAGTTCCAGCCCGATTTGTGCCATGGAAGTGTCCTAATAGGTATATCCAGAAATGAGCATTCGATTGTCACCCATTGCTGAACATTTTGTTTTCTCGTCCATTCATAAACCCTAGCCAGATGAATGGCAGTATGGAAAGCATGTATGTCTGGGAGACCTACTCCACCCTTCTCTCTAGACTTGGCTATCAGTGAACTGGCCAGTCGCGGGTATGAATATGCCCACAAAAAGATTGTGAAGGTTGACCTGATTGTGTCAAGAAATGTTTTGGGGATTGCAATGGGAATAGTTTGAAGGGCATAAAGAATACAAGGTAACGCATTCATTTTTATTATATTGATTTTTCAGAACCATCCAAGACAAAGTCTATGCCAAATTTTCAGGTCTTTTGATATGGCCTCTAAGATTGGGGGGAAGTTAAGTTCGAATAAACGGTTTTATGCGGTAAATGTATCCCCAGGTATTTCATGGATTTAGTAGCCCACGTTAATTGATATTTGTTTTTTAAATGAGTCTAAGTCTAGGGTGGTGAATATGGGAAATTGGATAGCTTATTATATCTGTTAATTTTGTCCATTATGTGTGGGAGAGTATTTATCGGGTCAGATATTGTGAAGAGGAAATCGTCTGCAAATGCAGATATTTTATAGTAATCTCTTTTAATTTTGAATCCCTGAATTTGCTGGTTATCTCTGATTCCTTGTAGGAATGGCTCTAGGACCAAAATAAAGACAAGGGGCAACAAGGGACATTCCTGTCTTGTGCCGTTAGATATCACTACTGGAAGAGAGAGGTGGCCGTTGATACGCAGTTGGGCTGTGAGCGACGAATAAATCGCTCCCAACCAAGTGAGCCATCGTGGCCCAAAGCACAATTACCGCATTGTGGACATTATCAGTGTCCAGTCTACCCTATCAAATGCCTTTTCGGCATTTATGGCTAACAGGGCACTTAGCGTCATGATTATTTGTACCAAATGCATTAAGTTTATGATTTTAGTGGTATTATTCTTTGATTCCCTGCCTGGCACGAAGCCTGCTTGATCTGGGTGTAGGGGCTTCAGTCTAGTGGCCTATTTTGATATCAATATTGATTAGGAAGATGAGTCTATAACTACCACAGTTCGTCAGGTCTTTTCCTGGTTTAGGTATTAATGCTATGGTCGCTTCCAATGCTAAGGGAGGTAAAGATGTTGGTAATTTGATGGCATCGAAAGCATGTACAAATGGCTGGGCTAACATCTGTGACATGACCTTATAGTATTTACCTGTGAAACCATCCGGTCCCGGGTTTTTGCATTCTGTATCTGATCATCTGATAAAACTCGTCAGCAGATATTGGGCTGGCAAGGTATTCGATCATGTTTCGTGGCATTGTGTTTTTGAGTTTTTTCTGTAGGAAATCTTGACTGTCTTCCAGCTCAGGGGGTATGGTTCGTAGGTTATACAGTGAAGAGTAGTATTGTTGAAATGCCGTTAAGATGTCTGGCATTAGGCATGTTTGGATGCCGTCTGAAAGTTTAATGTCAGAAATAAATGTTTGTCAGTCTTGTTTTAGGGATTGAGCTAGTGGACGTCCACTTTTGCCTCCCTGTGAGTAGTATGTATGTTTGGTCAGGCGCAGCTTGCATTTAGCATGTAATTGTAGTATAGTTGTCAGTTCCGTGCGCTTTGCCGTCAGCTCCTTGTAGGTCGTGATTGACAACAAGGTCATGATTGACAGCTCAAGGGTTGTTATATCTTGAGTCAGTCTCTGTATCCTTATGTCCTTCTTGCATTTTTGGTCTGCGGCTATTTTAATTAACTCCCCTCTCATAACACATTTATGTGCTTCCCAGAGCATGTTTGTGTCATGTCGGGTTGCATTATCTCTACAAAGTATCTCTGAGCGACTTCTCTCCACCTAATAACATCCTCCGAGCTATTAAGTAGTAGGTCGCTCAGTTTCCATTGGGGAGAGGTGTAAGCCCAAGCTTACTGTGAGAGTGTGTGTGCTGTGATTGTGACTGTCTTTGACTGTGTGTGATTGTCTGCTTGTGTGTGTGTGCCTGCCTGTGATTGTCTGCCTGTGATTGTCTGCCTGTGTGTGTGTGTGACTGTCTGTGATTGTGTTATGTGTATGTATGACTGTCTGCCTGTGATGGGCTGTGTTACACTGTGTGTGTGTGTGTCACTGTGTGTGACTGTCTGCCTCCGAGCTATTAAGTAGTAGGTCGCTCAGTTTCCATTGGAGAGAGGTGTGTGGTAGAGTTGGGATGTGTATTTCTAAGGTTAGAGGAGCATGGTCTGACCATGTGTGATCGCTCCACAGGAAGCAGACTTGCGTAGGAGTAGATGTCTGTGTTGCAGTGGTGTACTAAGGGGGGGGCTGGAGGGGCGGTCCGCCCTGGGTGCCAACAGGCAGGGGGGTGCCACCAGGGCTGGCCAGGCTTGGGAGTCAGTGAACTGTGTGGCTGCACCGGGTGCCATAGCAGCAAAGGCACCGGGCAGCCGACACAGTTCACACGCAGGGGCTGGGAACAAGATGGAGACCTGCACGGAGATTTTGGGGCGGAGCCAAACCGGACATGGGGGCGGGGCCAAGCCGGACGTGGGGGCGGAGCTATATGCAGCCTCATACTGCTGCACACAGAGGGGAAGTAGGAAGGAGTCCCTGCTTCCCCAACTACAGCACAGGAGCCAGAGGGACTGAATCCACACCTCCTCTAGCCCAAGCTTACTGTAAGTGAGAGTGTGTGTGCAGTGGTGTATCCTGGTTTTGTGCTGCCCTAGGCAGGACAAAACTCAGGCGCCCCCCTCCCCCACCCAACCCTTCCCCCCGCCCCACCTTCTAAATACACACACACACAGTCAGACACAAACACACACACACAGTCAGACACACACACACACAGTCACACACATACACAGTTAGACACACACACAAACACACACACACACACACATTCAGACACACACACACAGTCAGACACACACACACACACGGTCAGACACACACACACACAGTCAGACACACACACACAGTCAGACACACACACACACAGTCAGACACACACACACAGTCAGACACACACACACACAGTCCAGACACAAGCACACAGTCAGACACAAACACACGGTCAGACACAAACACACACAGTCAGACACAGAAACACACACAGTCACAGTACACACTCACACACTCACAAACACAGTCAGACACAAACACACAAACGGTCAGATACAGACAGAGTCCAGACACAAACACACACACAGTCAGACTACATACACGAACACAAACACAGTCAGACAAACACACACACACACTCACAAACACAGTCAGATACAAACACACACATTAACTTTTTTTTTATTTAAATCCCCCCCCAACCTCCTTACCTTTGGGAGTGCTGGGGGGGGAGGTCTCTCTCTCCCTGGTGGTCCAGTGGCTGCTGGGCGGGCGGCTGGCGAGGGAGCACTTCCTCTGAGCTGTCAGCTCAGCTCCCTCGCGCGTCGGCTGCAGAGTGAGGCTGGGAACCGGAAGATGACGTCATCTTCCGGCTCCCAGCCTCACTCTGCGGCGCGCGAGGGAGCTGAGTAGTCAGCCCATAGGAAGTGCTCCCTCGCCAGCCGCCCGCACAGCAGCCAGCGCCGCCCGCCCGCTCGGGATGTCAGTTAGCCACAAGGCTAACTAGGCATTTGCCCTGGGCATTTGGGGGGCGGCGTTTTTTGCCGCCCCCTGAAAAATGCCGCCCAAGGCAAAAATCTGCCTTCATTCTCGACTAATACGTCCCTGTGTGTGTGTGCTGTGTGTGTGTAACTGTGATTGTGACTGTCTTTGACTGTGTGTGGCGATTCATCTGTGATTGCCTGTGATTGTCTGTCTGTGATTGTCTGCCTGTGATTGTCTGTGTGATTGTCTGCTTGTGATTGTCTGTGTGACTCTGTGTGTGTGACTCTCTGACTGATTGTGTGTGTGTGTGACTGTCTGTGATTGTGTTATGTGTATGTATGACTGTCTGCCTGTGATTGTGTGTGTCACTGTCTGTGTGTGTGTGTGACTGTCTGCCTGTGATGGTCTGTGTTACTCTGTGTGTGTGTGTGTCACTGTGTGTAACTGTCTGCCTGTGATTGTGGGTGTGTGTGTGTGTGTGACTGTCTGCCTGTGATTGTGTGTGTGACTGTCTGTGACTGTGTTGTGTGTATGTGTGACTGTCTGTGATTGTGTGTGTGACTGTCTGCCTGTGTGATTGCCTGCGTATTTGACTGTCTGCCTGTAACTGTGTGTGAGTGACTGTGTGTGGAACTGTGTGCATCTGACTGTGTCTGACAGTCTTTGCCCTGCAGTGAGCCGGCAGCCAGGATATGATGTCATCGCGGCCTCAGCTTCATTACAGGGCATGCGTGCGAGAGATCCCAGCAGCAACCACTGACCACCATGGACTGAGGATCCACTCCAGCCCTTCTAGAGCAAGGTAGGGAGGCTGGGTGGACCTCTTAATTATTAAATGTGTGTATGTATGTAATGTTTGTGTGTGGGTCAGTGATTGGGCTTGTGTGTAGCTGTGATTATGTGTGTGATTGTGTGTATCTCTGCGTATGTGTTTAGTAGATAGCTCCCTTATTTCCTGTCCTCAAATATTGCAATCCCACATAAAGATAACAAATAAGGGATTTATCTACTAAACAACTGAAAATAAGAAAAGGGCTTTTTTTATCCTTTAGCTGTTTAGTAGATCATTCCCTGAATTGGTGCCCGTATGTGAGATTTCCATATTTAAAGATACCAAATGAGGGTGCTGTTTAGCAGATAGAACCTTATTTGGTGTCCTTAAATATGGCAATCCCACAAAGGATAGCAAATAAAGGAGTTATCTGCTAAACAAAGATTGATATTAAGAGGTGTCAGCCAGCCCATAACAAGAAATCTGGGTGGCTAATGTGAATTATATGCAAATGTGTAATCAGATGCCAGCATGCAGAACACAGCATGCTGGCATCAGACAGCCAATGGCAGCATATTACCCCATCCCCAAGTGAGAAGTTTTACTGCTCCACCTCCCCCTCCTGTTTTGACTGTGGTATCTTATGTGCCCCCCCCATATATATTGTTCCTAGAGTCACCACGATGTCTGCATGTGTGTCAATGTGTATCTGTGTGTGACTGTGTTTGTGTGTGTATGTCCGTGTATGTGTATATGTGCAGACATATAAAAATCTCGCCAACACTACACACAAATACACTCTTGCATTTCAACGTCAACACTACATGCAAACCCCACCATTATATATAACCATACCACTGCATTCAAATACCACACAACACACAAATGCATGCTTGCATTCAAACGCCAACACTACATACAAACACACCGCTACATTCACTCACATATACTCCATACAAAAACATGCATACATTCACTCACATATACTCCATACAAAAACATGCATACATTCAAAAACACAAACACTGCTTAGTGCTAAATACATTAAAACATTTTTTAGTTGTTTTTATATTTAAAGTTGAGGGGGGGAGCAAGGGGGGGTGCCAAAAATAGGACACGCCCTGGGTGCCAAATGCTCTAGGGACGCCCCTGCTGTGTTGGAGGAACAATATATCAATGTGGGTATAAGTACCTGCAGGGTGAGAGAAAAATTAGTAATCTCTACGTGTGGGGACTAGAAGTGGCAGAAGTGTGAAAGTCCCCGTCTAAAGTGAGGTTCATGTCCCCACACATAAGTATTCCTTCCTGAAAATTGGAAATTTTCCCTTTAACGAATAGATATCATCCCGCCTCATCTACCTGCTGTTCTTGAAAGGTAAACGGAACCTTATTTCTGATGAGTATTGCTACTCCCCTAGATTTTGCACCCACATAGTGACTGAAAAAACCTCTTGGGTACCTGTGATTTCGCAAGGAAGGGGTGGAATCTATGCGAAAGTGCGTCTCTTTCATAAAGATAATCTCTCCACCTTATGTCTATGGAAATCTGCTAACGCCATGGACCTCTTTTCGGGAGTGTTCAAATCCCTTGCATTTTGTGAGTGGATACGAATTGACGTCATATTGTCAGTCACAGCTGTATGTGTACTGTGTGCGTGGTTTGTCCAAGTCCCTTTGGGTGTCAATGTATATGTTAATGAAGCATAAATCTTATAACCATGAAATGAAATAAAATATATACCCTTAACAAGTTGACAAGTTTAGAGAAAGAAAGAATAACAATACATTTTGAATTCAATACAAACAGTTTGTAACCCTTGTAACCGATACTGTAGGTGACTTTCGTTTGCTAGTCTTTTAGGTATCAAAAGTATCGTAACAGGTGAGTTAATACTCGCCTCGAATTTGGATATTATATATGCCCCTGGTCCCAGGGATGTAAAATGTGGGTTTCTGATATCTATAGAATAGAATCAAATTGGTAATATAATTCTATCTCAGTGCAGGTGGCAGAACTGAAAAACAATTGGTTGCAAGGCAATGTAAAAACCTGAGCTATGGGCTTCCACCTGTCGCTGATGGTGTTTTTGGGAGACTCTAGGGATATGGTGGGGAGGGGGGGAGGGAGGAAAGGGGGGAAGGTTGGGAGGGCGAAGAGGGGGGGAAGGGGGAGGAGAGGTAAACGCTCATAACAACTGGTGTGGTGATATTTGAGTGATTTACGTCCCTTGAACCAGCTACCTGCGGGATAACAATCTCTCGGGGCATCAGAAGCCGTTCCCCCTCAGATGCAGTGATCTATTGGCTCTGTCCAATATAATCTGGTTGTTGCTGGCCTCCCTCAGAATAAGATTAAAAAGCTCCATTAGAGTTGCTAAAACATCCTCACAATTGGCTTCTGGTAGGCTGCGAATTCTCGAATTATACCTCTGGCCTTGATTATCTAGATCATCCATCTGGCACTGGATCATGGACATGGATAGTGTATGTGTCTCCAATGTTGCGGAAAGATGAGTTACCTGCGACTGTAGGACATCACGTTCCTCTTCCAGGTCATGAACTCTTTTGGTAACTTGTTGGACATCTTTGACCATCGTTTCTAGTTTTGTTTGGAAGGTTGTCTCCAGCTTGTCCAGCATGTTAGCCAGGTTAGCCAGTGAATGATCTCTATGAAGGTGTTGGACTGGAGGGCGAGGATTCGGCCTGACGTTCCATGCCACCATGTCACCATGTTAGGGAGCTTGATTTTGCCAAAGGAGTCTTCCCTGATGCTCCATGTGATGTTGTCTGTTTTTTGGGGTTCCCCAATATTGCTTAAAGTCTCGGATTATGGTGGATTGATGCCCGTGCTTCAGGGAGCTGAACTAGTGCACGTCCATTCAGCTATCTTGTAGGCCACTATCCCCACGCTGCCCACTTACTTAAACTCAACTTGTCCAAAACTGAACTTCTGGTCTTTCCTCCCTCAAGTGTTGCTACTCCTGTGTCTGTCTCCCTCCTGAGTCTGTCTAGCATCTGCTCCACCACGCAGGCTTGCTGCCAAGGTGTTCTCTTTGACTCCAACCTCCCCTTCACCACTCATGTTCAGTCTCTCACCAAATCCTGCCTCTTCCAACTCAAAAACTTTGCGCGCATACAATGTAAGCTCATTGAGCAGGGCCCTCAACCCCTCTGTTCCTGTGCATCCAACTTGTCTGGTTACAATTACATGTTTGTTAGTCCACCCACTGTAAAGCACTGCAGAATTTGTTGGCGCTATATAAAAATAATAATAATAATAATAATAATATGCCCATGTGATATTTATCTATACAATCATAATGCCCATTTTAATATCCTATTGATGGGCTTTAAAAATAAGATTTTGACTTGAATTGGGACATATTGGTTGCAGAACTAGGTGGTTTCAGGATCATGTAATGAAGTACTAGGGTATAAGTGAAGACTGAAGACCAGCATGAAGAAGAATAAATTGTGTATCTATTAGACCTCTAAGATTGGGACGTGTGTAATAGATTTCCCATGGCCTGTATGATAAGACTTATCTAAACTATGATTGTTCTATTAACAGAGCGATGTATGGTGGCATCTTCTGGTTTCCTGAAAGCTATATATTGTCCATTTAAGAATATAGTTAGTTTATCATTGCTATGATGGAGCCATAGCAGAAGTACTTAGCATCATCCTGTTCCACAGGATTAGTTAAAAATTGAAAGTCAAAACCAATAGGGTGCCTTTGGTGGTTTACCTTTGCATGTGACTTTTAGTGCTACCCATGACAATAATTGAAATAAGATAATATTCCAGTGATGTGCTTTATTTCTTTATGAAAGGGATGGTATAAGAGTAATGGATCCATATTTCTTTGGTTTACCAGCTTCCATTCTTGGAGTTTTTCCACCAGTCTTTACTTGGGTCTCTTCATCCCTTTAGTATGTGTTGCCTAAAATGTAATTTGGCATCTGAGGACACATCTTTCCATTCATTCTCCTTTGCCCTTGCCTTTGTGTGTACTTCATTGTCTACTGATCAGTATGTTTGTACCATATTCACCCACTCTATGTACTGTACCATATATACATACGATATGCTGCATTATTTCTCACTATATCTTCTCGCACATCATAATGGAAAGGGCATCTGATATATAGTGTATTACTTTATAACTTCTGTATATGGAATTTGTTTAGGAAGTGTGCTGGTGCCTGTAATGTCCCTTTAAACTTTATGTTAGAGTAAATGACAACTATAGTCACCAGACCAGACCACTTCATCTTAATGATCAGAATGATCAGAGCAACATTGATTAGAATCAATGCAATACATTCAGAATGCGTAATATTGAATTTTAAACAAACTCATGGAACATGTCAAGAGATAGATATAAAATTGTAATAAATTATCGAAATGTTTTGGGCTGTGACAAAAAAATTGTGTTGATTTTACAATACAGGAAGTCAGAACTGCTACTATTGTTTGTTGTTACCTATATTATTTTAATTAATAAAGAGTATGTTTGGAAAAAAAAAAACATGATGTAGCCTGGCTGGATTTGGATGTTAATTTATACGGAAATGATATTTCATGATTAAAGGATTTAATTGGATAATGATTGAAAAAATACATCTGAAAGAGTTGTAAAATGTTAATTGAGGAGAATAATCAATTGAAACTATACTATTAAGTGAGTCTCTCTGTATGTAACCTGTACTATTATACTACATGATTATTAGTAGAACACTTAGGGCATGATAACAACGTCATCTCAGTTCCAAATAGAAACACCGTTTTGAGAATGAGAAGATAGTACTAGGCTAAGCGCGTAACTGAGGCTTCCAGATATGAACTTCAGCCTC